TGGAAATGGAAGAGAATAGGCCCTTACCCTTTCTAAATGTGGTGGGTTAGAAAGACATGTTTACAAGAAACCAATCAATGTTGGCTATTTGCTTAACTTTCCAACCAACCATAGTTACAAAACTAAGGTTGGAATTATGAAGTCAATGATGATTAGGAGTATGAGGCTAGTGGATAGTAACCATTTGACAAAAAAGTTGGAACGGCCGACGAATTTTCTTCTGAAAATTAATTTCCCTTTTGGCTTAATTGAGAAAAATGTATCTTTACTGAGGAATACATTTTCAGACGGAGACTTTTTAGTCAAGACTGAGACCTTCTCTCATGTCCTAATTTTGCTGTCATGCCTTCTTTCTAAGAGGACAGGCGAATTAGTGAGAAATTGTGGGATAAAATGATTGTCAAAATAAACCCTCAAATTTTCTTCTTCTATGCCATATTTTGTAGATAAATATGACCAATTATCGCGACCCGGCTGCTACAAGAATGTGCGCCACTGTGGTCGACCTTATGCTGGCCTATTCGACAAAGAATGGGAGAACAGAAAAATGCTTGTAAACAAAGCCGAACACATGACAGAGACTGAACATGGTCTCATGCTAGTAGGTTTGCTGATCATGGTACGTCTGCTGTTCAACTTACCATTAAAATTAATGGAATAGAGAATACGCCGAATGTGAGAAAGGGTGGTAGAAAGTTGAGTAGGAACTCATGCTTGATTGAAATATTGAATGAGAAAGCCGCTATCCAAAAAAGGCCACTCAACTTGTCGGCTTGGTGATGGTTCTAACTTCACTCATATTCGTCCAACATGTCACGGTAAAGTGGGTTGACCTCGTTGTCGCAACTTAGTCTTGTTGTCAGGGCGACATAGTAGAACTCACCTAGTCCGAAGTCGTCTGCCATAATAGTTGTCATGATTCCCAGCATCAGACAGTGGACTTGGTGCATTCTCAAACCTTTCGCCGGAATCATAGTCGGCATCATCAGTGACTGCTGCCAATCTCCGCACCAAACTACCAACTCGTCAAAGAGACAAGTGAAGTCAATCTCTCGACAACCGTTCTGCTGGAAACGGTTACACTAT